ACAATGATTTCTCTCTAAAAACAAAATTTATCATATTGCCATGTAGAGGTGCCGGACGTGTGTATAAGTCTTTTTTTTAACGCCATAAAACATGTGGGGAAAATGAATATTAATATGTTTCATATTGCAAATACTTTGGTTCTTTAACTTGTCATGCTGATGCAAAATTAGATTATTCCTGCCTTAATTAAATAGGCGCTAAAACGTTATACAGTTTAAAAGTTTAAACATTTAGGTTTCTGATTATAAGTAGTACTTTTCACGAATCCTTTGTTCATTAACAAATTTGTTAATGCAAATATAAACACCTCAGATGTAAAATTATAAATATGAAACAAGGTGATGAAGAAATTAATTAAAATTACGGAAAACTATTCATTGTAATAAAACAATATTAGAAAATAGTGTGATTTCATTTACAATCGGCCGTTTTCGGAAGGAGACATTTTGTTTCAAAAACACACGATAAATCATTTTTCATTTGAAAGCCTTACCCCAAGTTACACGGAATGCAAGTAATATTTTAACTGTAATTTAAAAAAAAAATTACTAATGAGTGAGTAAGAAAGCGTTTAGCATTTAATTAGAATAAAACAGAATGAAAAGCGTAAGCAAAGTTATTTTTACTAATTTTAGGAAACATTAATCCCGTTAAGATTTTAAAACGAGAAATACTGGTTTAAAATAGGTACCACCAAACCAAAATGAATGCGTTTTTTTTTTCCCACGAAATAAATTTAAAAAAAAAAAACAAAAAAAAAAAAACGAAAAAACGAAATTTTCAGTAATTATAAATGAATTGTATACTGAATAGGTTATTTTATTAGAAAATTTTGAAGAATTTCTTTTGGTTTGAGTGGGGATGCAATTTTATTCCCCCTCTTTCGATATCTCGTGTATTTTTATAATTTGTGAGGATGTTCCCGAATTTATTTTATTTTTTTTTTACAGTTATATACAGAAAGGTCGGTCACTGAAGATTTTATTTCAGGAAAAAAATATCCAATATCTAGTGTACTGTAAACATACGGAAAATTCGCTCTGAACCTTTTAAAAAATAATGCAATAGAACTAAAAAAAATTGGTGCTTGCATAATTTAATAAACTACTTTATTTTCTTTCATATTTAAAAAAAAAAAGGAAAACTTTAATAGATATTTATTATTTTTAGATTACTTTTAATTTTGAGTGCGATTTTTAAATTCATCAGGTTTCTGTTCGTATCAAGAGGGATTATTATTGTTAAATAAAAAAATGTTTGAAGAATCGAGAATGTAAAGTTTGATGCTATTTTCGAGTGAGAATATTTTTAAAAGAATTTTTTTTATTTTTCATCTTTACACTATTATTTTTCGGAATTTAAAAACTTTTTAAAAAAATGAATGGACCTGATTTCGATTGTTCAGCTAGAACAAATCAACACCCGAAAAGACGCTGTGGATTTCAGTTTTAACTAAAAATAAAATCTAAGAAAGATAACAACTTTCCCCATTACCAGTGCATTTCAAATTTTAGTCTAAATCCTGAATTAGTAAAGAACTCTGTTATTTTTTATCAGGTCAAACCCGCTTTCTTATTTCAACCAAATATACCTGTATTTGATTCAGTGGGAGGAATCTCTGGTGTCGATCTTCTACACCCTGCTTCTGTAAAAGACAAAAGGTTCACTCCATTATGGGAGACAGGTTTTTTGCCCTACACACACAGTTTTTTTCATTTTGTGGTGTATTTCATAAATGATTTAATCAAAGCTGAGACCAGAGCGAAATATCGTTGCATTTATGACATCGGTCTCGAAGGCGCGATAAAAGGGTTTAAATCCCTTTTAAAAATCATTGAAATAAATATTTAAAAAAAAAACCAACAAAAAAAAAAAGCATTGGTTTGTAGATAGAGCAAGAAAGCATTACATTTTCAGGAAAAATGGAAGTAACGCTTACTCAAAGTAAACAATTGAATGTAGTTTTACAAGTTTCACTATCAGAGATATAGACACACCCTCACAGGCCAGTTGATAGTAAAGAAAGGGTGAACAAGACTGTCTTTTGACGATTTCAATATGTCACATCCTTAGCGATAATTCCATTGTTGCAACAGATTTAAGTTAAACAGCATAGGATCTCGTTGTCTGAAGATCAAGTTGTCTATCAGTTGATAGGGCAGAATATAAAATCGGCATGCAGGGTTCAAATTCCACATCGGACAGTCTATGTTCTCTTCGCACTGATAATCATGAGAAAGACATCACCCCATCCGATCTGAGTTAAATTGTCAATTCAGCTATCTAACCTTGGTAGAACAACCCATCTTGGAAGTTAAAACCGTGAAGAAGGCAATGGAAAACCGCTATCTTTCAGTTAAAACCTTCATAGAAGTATGCAGTTTACAGATAGGAAAGGAAGCGGTGAAGTGCCATGATCTCTTAAAGAGACGTGATGTTGAAATACAGAGAGGGAAATGAAAGAGTTTCAAGAGCTTTCTAACATTGGTCGGGCAAAGTTCGAGGGCTTAATATTTATCAACAATTACTACGGAGGGGCTTTTTGAGTTTTTCGTAGCTTATGATTGCATCATATTAAAACAAGGTCCTGGTTTGCTTTATGACATACAAGAATAAAATTAGAATGATAAAATCCTGTTGACAAAATAGATTCATTTTTGGGAATGCTTTCCCGCTATTTTTGATTTGCTGCTTAGTAAGAACCGAGAACTGAATGATTCGTCTGCCTCGCGGTTAAGATTGTTGCATATCTGCCAATGGCAGTGATCAGTTTTCGATATCAGATTCACGATTTCAAATGATGATTTTCAGGAAAAGTTTTCGACCCTTGAAATATTGACGCAACACAATCTATGTTCCTAGGCTAAAAAAAAAGTTATGTGAATATAGGTATTCTCCGTTTTCCGAAAGTTCATTTTACGCCAATTCTGTTTTTTACTATAAACCTACATTAGTGTCCCCTACTATCCGAAATAGCGTAAAGCGAAGAAGCAATTGGTATTAATTGGTGGGAGGGGGGGCGACTTTTCGAGACCCTAAAAATAATTTTCTGCCCGCCTCGATATCAAAAGTCGAGATTTGTCGTCGACTCTGGTGGAAGGTTTTAAATACGACATTATGCTTGACTGCCCAACTTCACGTATCTCGTGTGGTAGTCCTTGAGTTTGCACCTCACCTCCATATATATATATATATATATATATATATATATATATATATATATATTGCACAATGACTCACGCTTAAAGTTAAAACTAGTTTGCATACCATTATGATATTACTTACACACACACACACACATATAGGTGTATATTTAGGCAGCAATCCTTCATTTATGCATGTTTCATTAAAAACGACAGACAAGGTACTACGGTTACGCTTTTTATTTAATTTTTATTGTGTTCGAACAAGAGCTTTCTTTTCTGGACAAAGAGTGTGTAAAAACTGTCCAAATGTTTTATATTTCCGAGGTATAGCCTAAAGTGCTCGGAAATATAAAACATTTGGACAGTATTTTGTTTAATGGAAATATTAAATTTAATCTCTTTAAGCTTGAAATTAAAACTAGAATAAAAGCCTCAAGAAAAAGCTTTAGGTATTGTGTTTTCGTAGAGCCCCCTACTGTATTAAAATAAAAGTGATTTTAATGTCAGGACATTACTCACATTTTAAGGATCTTTTTTATTTCGAGTACCTTAAACTATGGCATATATATTGGTTTATCTATTGTCTATAGAACAACAAATGACAGATGAAATACTTTTTAACAATGTCATCGAAGAATTTGTCGACAAAACAACAAGAAAAGTTACTATGCAGAGAGTTGTCAATGAAGATGGTCCTAATTTTTTTTTTATACTTTTTTTCCCTATATGTCGTTTTGTCTTTTGCCGGTCTTCTTCAGGTGATATGTCCTGTTCAAAGTCTTGTTATTGATCTGTTCCACTCTCAATCCAGCTCATGGCGAAATCACATTGAAACATCGATTCTAGTCCATCCACCAAGGTTAAGCAATGTCGAGTTTGGTCTTTACCTAGATAGGTAAGCACTATTATGTACGGGGACTTTAATCTTAAAAAAATAATTAAATAATATAACGCGAACACCTTTAAGTACTCGGTAATCTTTAAAAAATTAAGAAAATATTCCCCGTAATCTAATGTTTATTGAATTTTATAGAATTTTAGCTCTAAATTTACTATAGGTCTCTGTTTTATTTTTTTGATAGGGTCGTGTATGAACAACCATATCTATAAAATTCGGTACGTTTTTACACATGCAAAAAGCAATTCGAAATTCTTTTAAAAATATTCGGCTATGTCAGATTGTAATAAGCTTTACTATATATGATTAGTAAATATATTTTTACTTAATAACAATCTTTCCTAAGAGTTACACCAGTCGTATAACCTACGGCAGACACAAAACGTTCCGCCCGGTAAAATGTGTACGACTCAGTTTTGGAAAAGACCAATGCCTCTTTCATGCCTGAATAAAATATAATCGATGAAAGGGCAACATTTTATCTTCCAGTTCAAACAAATGAATTGTTGACTTTACCCCGTTTTGTGTCGTCTTTGTGCGGCTTTGAACTTCCGGTGGCAAGTTTCATTGCTTAACCCAGTGGAACAATTATCTTACTATCAGCGAACATTTTACTTCAGCGACGCACAGTAAATGTTTAATCACACAAACGTAGATAATGAGTGAATAAAATTATACTTACTTTGACTTGGCTTGGGAGTCGTAGTCGTTGTTGGCGTCGTCGGTGGTAAGGTGGTCGTGGTCGTGGTTGTTGTCGTAGTAGTCGTTGTGGTAGATTTTAATGTGTCTGCATTAGCAACAGAATTGAAAGGCCATCTGCTATCGTCACAGTAGAACGTAATTGGAATATTTTCATGTCGCAGGCGGGGCCGAAGAGAATTGCTATAGTCCCAAGCCTTCATGTACGCCTCTTCTAAAGTTCTGGCATGATAGTGAGGCAGGTCCGATGTTAGCCTTATCCACCCAGTGCAGTTCCTGTATTGTGGTGGGTTTGTACCCGGTATAATACAAACCGGTCGGCATATCCGACCACACCTTTCGGAAGCAGTTATAAATACAATGATGCCGTTTTTAGTTGGTTTTTTAATGCCAACGTATGCTATCTCCGAAGACACTGCTAATCTGCTGTCGACTATGGTCATTTCTTGATAGTTTCCAAAATAACTGATCCCACTTGCTTGGACGCTGATTCGTCCGGCTGGGCCGCAGCAATTCTTAGACTTGCATCCTCGTTCAGTGACGTTTTTCGCCGCAGTCACTGTTGGGAGGTTGATTCGGTAAATGTCACCCAGCAGACTCGCGTGACCCCCGATGACCGGAAAGTTGCCAAAATTTGATGAATCAAAGGTACGTTCATGGATGATCTCCACCGGGAGGAAAGCCCATTCATTGAGATCACACACACCGTCAATACAGAACTGGTTCTGGTAAGGTATTAGTGAACCACACCCGGTCGATTTTCGGGTCACAGTCTGACATTTTTTGTTCACACATCTTAAATAAGGTGAGTTGCATTTATGGGGTTTGTGCGAACAGTCTCCCTCAAGGGACTCGTAGTCATATTTATAAATTGAAGTGTAGGTCATGGCTTCTTCTAAAGCTTGCATTACGGTGATGTTTTTGATCCCGATGCTTTTATTGGGGGCGTATATATCCGCACCGTATTTGCTGGGATAATCAGTGCGTGGATCGATCCCTAGTTTTCGTTGGCGTTCATTGAAACGCGTCCAAATCAAATCAACGTAACTGTGGATCAACCAGAAAGCCGGATCCATTGGTGCTGTCTCGATAAAGCCAACTTGACCCCCAATAAAGTCATGCATATTATTATGTTGGAACTCGAAGTTATAGCGTTCGTTTGCGTTGGGTTCACTGATTTGTTGCAGGCGCTCACGACTCAGGACATTACTAATACTTTCCTGAGTAGGTAAGTTTTCAATGAAGGCCACGTTTCGAATCAGGGGTCCAGCAGGAGTATTCCATTTCGCGAACGGACCTGATTTGACAACCCCGTTACTTGTACCCAGAAAGTTATCAGCCCAGATGATAGAATCCCGAGTGTTTTCTAAACTACTGTCTAAAGTTGGATCCCAGTATGGAATGGTGACCGTTGGTACCTTTTCGCGGAGAGCTTCCTCCATCCTAAATGGGCAAAGGAATCGAAAAAGAAATAAATAAATAGGATTGTCAAATACAATTATGTCACATAAAAAGAAAGAAAGAAAAAAGAGAGGAAGAAAGGAATCATTGGGATTGCCAAATAAAATTCTTAAAAAAAAAATTGAAAAAAACCCAAAACAAACAGGTAAACGAACAAAAATCTAATTGAAACGATGAAAGTGAAATTAGTCATTTTTGGAGGTTACTTGAGAAAAGACAACAAAAATATTAAACACTATTTACTTATTGTTTAAAAGAATAATTTCATAATTACAACGTTCTAAAAACCAATACAATTAAAACTAATGCAATGCAATATTTTATCATTTCCCAATTCATAAAGGAATAAATGTGAAAACAAATTTTTATTCATAAATTTATAAACATTTACTAAATTATTCAAATATCTGATCCTTATTATTTACCGTTTGAAACAATTGGCAATTAACGGATGTATCCCAATAATTGGCAATTAACGGATGTATCCCAATAGCCAACAATTCCAATAAATATTTTGATAAATAGTGCAAATAAACAATCTAATAAATAGTGTTTATTATTTTTGTTGTCAATTCTCAAGCACAGAGAAAATGTATAAATTCACTTTCATATAGGTACCTCCACTAATTCACTAAAAAAAGAGCATAACCTTATGAAAAAATGCCCCATACTTGATAGAAACAGTTTTAGCGTCAAAATGTTTATGTTATTATTAAAAGAAAGATCAAAGAATTTATTGATTATTGAAATAAATTTTTTCATCTTTTCTAGCACGCTCGAAATTTTGATTAAAAATGTTGTTTTTGTTGCGTCATCGGGTTAGTGGGAGTGCAAAAGTTAGTATAGGAAATTTTAGCGGTTTTTTCTTTTTTTTGGCGTTAAAAACACATTGATTTGGAAATTGTTGCAAAAATCAAATAATTATAAGAATTTAATAAAACTTTCAGAGCTTATTCAAAAATGAATGAAAATATTTTAGAATTTTTTTTTTTAGAAAATCTTGCTAAAAATATTTTTTTTATATCTGTTACCAACCACTTGCTTAATTTTGTGAAATTTCGAGAAATTAAATTTCACCCACTTAATTAAATTAATATTAAATTAATATTAGTGAAAAGCAGAACTCCTTGGAGAATTCAAATCATCAAATTTTACCGAAAATCTGCTCTGAATCGAAAAAATAAAAAAATGCAATAAATCTATGACATTATTTAATTAGAAAAGTTTTTAATTGCTTTTATATTAAGATATATTGCCTTAAGACTTTCTTTTCAATGAATAATGAATATTTACAAGAACTGTTTTAATTTTTAAAAAATTTAATTACAACAATTTATTAAGTTTTAAATCTTTTAAAATTCTGTATCAGTTTCACCCTTTTAGATTATATTATTATTAAACAAAAGCATAATTTACTGATCATAACTGGAAAACATATTATAAACCATCACACACAATATATATATAAAAGAATTTTGAATTTTTTTTGTACGTGTATAAACGTGCCGATCTTTGCAGAGTTGGTTATTTATACCGGGCATTATTCAAACACAAGAGCTTTAACTATAGTAAATTTAAGGCCAACGTACCTTAAAATTCAACAAAACATTAGATTACGGAGAATACTTTCCTAAATTTTTAAGATTACTGAATACTTAAAAATTACATATAAAAAGGCGATCACGTTATATTCTTCAATTATTTTTACGGATAAAGACATTATAGGACAACATTAGATAAACATCCATCTCTCATCAAGCTGTCAGCACACGTCAACAGCTTAAATAAATAGCTACCGTTGTGTTTCTGCGATATTTTAAACTTTAAAGTAAATAATACTTTTTCAAATTAGATTAATTATACTTTAAATCAGTTAATATTCCTCAAATAAAGTTTATTTTATTTTTGGAAGATTTTTTAATAAAGAAAATTACAGTCTGATAATAGCTAAAATGGCAATTTCAAAACGAAAGCTTCTTTCAATCAATTTAGATTAGTTTTGACTTTTGAAAGACAGCAAAGTATTTTGTTTATTGGAAATTTTAATTTTAATCCAGCTTGAAATTAAAATTAAAATTTCAAGAAAGATTTTTCATTTTTTAAAATTCATTTTAAACGTTAGGTATCGCGAATCTGTAGAGGTACCTACTTTCATATATTTAAGTTTTATTACAATTGTAATCATCGCCTTTTAAAAATAAAAACCAATAAACATTGCCGAAGAGTGAAGGTAGTTAAAAAAGCGGTGTTATGGGGAAAAAAGTCCTTTTTTGCACCGTTTTATTGCGGGCATGTTTGCCAACAAAACTTTTTGAAAACTATAGACGTTTTGACAATGCTTACATTAAAGCGTAAAGCCGATGCCACACAAGAAAAGAGGGACCTTCATGAGCATTTTCTGCAGTCCAACCCGCATGAAGAGATGCAATGGCATCATATTTGTTTGGCAGGACACTCTGAAAAAAAAAAAAGGAAAAAAAAAAGAGAGATTTAGAACATTATACACGCACGTACAATGATTCAATACAAAATAGTTATTTTCCCAGATGAAATCAAATTTAACATTATTATGATGATTGCAAATGATTCCCATCTGATTAATTTTTCATTGTTGAATTAGCTGTTAACTGGTAAACGAGCTATGTCGAAAAGATAATGCTTTTTAACCCAGCAGGGGATTTGCATGGCTTGAAGTATATGTGACATACAAGGGAGGTCACTTCGACAGGATTTATTGGATCAGATTAAGTAATGGCATCACATATAAAGGTTTTCAATAGGGCACCTCAACGTGGTGTAATGGTTAGCAGGCTTGTCTCGCTAGATCGATTACGACTGAAAAGTGAGTTCGATCCTCACTAGGTGTCCCATACATTCGGCCTTGGGCTACATCTAAGCTACGCTTAGAAAATAACTATAAAGGTTTTCAATAAATATTTTTCAAATATCAATATGACGTAGTGGTAATGAATGTAAATGTGGGGGTAATAAAAAAAGGAGTTCGATGTGCAATAATGGAGGTAAAATTTATACTACTAATAAAAATAAATTTGATCCTCATCGTTCCAGATTTCTCAAGTTGTGTCAAATGGTGAGGAATAAATATATATTCATTACACACACAAACACACACATATATATATGTATATATATAGGGTGTCCATAAAGTTCGTGTGCACTTTAAAAAATTTATATTTGTATTTGCGATAGAAATAATTTGTAAAAAGGATTAGAAAGAAGTAAATCTGTATTTTTTAACGTTTATTGAAATTTTATCTAAGTTTCCACATGTCCTCCATCATTAGCAACAAAAAGGGTAATACGATTTTGCAGTTCACGGAAAACATTTGCCAACTAATTTACATTAATGCCTGAAGTCACATTAGTTATTTTAGCCATACTTAAAACTAGGTACATTAAACTTTATAACATTTTTTACAGATTATTTCTGTCGCAAATGCAAATAAAATTATATTTTTTAATTTGCACACGAAAATTTTTTAAATATATATATATATATATATATATATATATATATATATATATATATATATATTATTTAATGAAACGTGTATGAATATATATATATATATATATATAAATGAACGTTGTTCTTACCTTGTCTTGTTTGAGTAAATTAATGGCTCTGTGAAAATCTGATCTTTCCCTGTCCGTCAACATTCTGTATTCTTTTCGGACCCGACGTTGAATAGATTTTAATGGCGCAGGATTCCATGGTTGATGAGTGTCTGGATTAAAATTTGGGTGGTGGATGTGCCAAAAAAAGGGATTTTGCAACTCCTTGTGAAGTTGTAATCGCACGTTGGATATGTAATTTTGTTCACCTTGCCGAAGGGCTGCCGAATGATGTAGCGTTGTTGACAATAGCGCAATTTCGAGATGTCATCTCCGCTTGTCGATCCATTTGTGTCCAGTCGGTTCATGCAGTTCAAAAAAGACCTCCGGCAATTGATTTTTCCCTTGAAAAAAAACTCAACACCGGGATAAGTAAAACAGCATTTACAATGCGTATGATCGTCATGTCTGTTAATTAAAATCAAAAGTTTATTATTTTTATTATTATTATACTAACCATCACCCAATACAAGGCCCAAGAGCCACTCAAGGTAGAGGGTTACTGATTGAAATTGATGTACGTAAGAGAAATAAGAATTACATATTATGTGAATATGAAGGATAGAAAGCGGTTGTTTTCTAGACTTGAAGAGGTTAATACTGTACTGATCGAGTAAGCATCCCCTGGGAGTCTGTTTCATTAAGTAGCGGTTCTTGGGATGGAGTTGTCCGAATGGAACTTCAACAAACGCGGACTTTCGTGTCCGCAATAAGATCCCAAAGTGTCAAAAGGACGCTTTTACTTTAACTATCTTCACCCTATCGACAATGTTTAGTGTTTTAAAAAGCGATGATTAGAATCGTAATCGAAAGTGAATTTATAAATTTTCTTTGTTCTTGAGAACTGATAACAAAAATAATAAACACTATTTATTTATTACATTGTTTATTGGAATGGTTGGCAAAACATTGGCTAATTGCCAATTGATTCGAACTTTATAAAATGGTAAATAATGATTTCCTTTATAGTTGGTTCACATATTTTAATAATTTAGTAAATGTTTATGAATTAATGAATAAAACATTGTTTTCATATTTGTTTCTTTATAAATTGGTAAATGATAAATATTGCATTGTATTAGTTTTTAGAATGTTGTAAATATAAAATTATTCTTGTAAATAGACAAGGACGTGGACTTAGCCGTAATTTATACTATCCTAATAATTCCATGGATACTATTCCAGTAATTTTATACTAGTCAATGGGAACACTCCTAGTGTACATGGGATTATGGGCATGACCGAGAAATTTCTTTTCTTCTTCTTCTTCTTCTTCTTCTTCTTCTTCTTCTTTAATAACTTTAGCTTAATACAACAGAAAACCTAACACTGAAAGTTTGAAGACTGTGTTACGTTAGCCTTCTAGCTTGGGAGCATTGATAAAAAATAAATGACTGTTTTGATAATCACAAAATTTAGTTTAGTAAGGTCTAAAAACCAAATTCATGTAAATTGAAGATTATGTTACACTAATCTTCCATGTGGATAAGATCTGCCTGTCTGGAAAATCAACATTTGAAATCCTACCTGTTTTTTGTTGCCGGTAGGAAATATATAACACTCTCACCTAACAAACAGATTTTTTTTTCTTTATGCAGTTTAGCTTAATATAATCTAAAATTAGAGAAACTGAGAAAAGAAGATTATGTTGCACCAAATTTTCAAGTGAGAAAGCATACTTTGAAAAGCAGCTTTCTAAATTTCAGCTGAATTTTTAATTTGGTGGGTCATTGGCCTCGGTGGTAATTCTGTAATAATTTCAGTTTTGAGGCCGCCCACCTTATAATTAACCTTCATTTGAGTAGGTGCTGAAAAGCTCTTATTTATTACATGTAATATCCTCATCTTAACTGTTACGATCACAAAGTTTCAACCGGTGTGCCATCCAGCCTTCTTCAGATGTCCGTCAGTTTGGATAACTTTCAATGATCTTCGAACTGAGCTCTTTATTCCATCTATAAAAGGTAGATTGTTCACATTCCGCTGTTCGTAACTAGGGAGATAACTGGTCTCAGTTAATTGCTCCGTTATTGCTTGTAATATTTCCACAAAATTTGAATATATCCATGCTACTCGACCCAGGGATTGAACTTATAATTGCTGGCTAACCAACGTGTTAATAGCCTAGGCAGTTGTTCCCGTTGATTAAATAAAGGGTTTTGTTCCGAATTTCCTGTGGGTTGCCCGGATCGACATACACCTGATGAAAGTCAGAGGGCGCCAAAACCGAAGCATTGTGATAATAACAATAAAGATGAGGATGTTACTCCGATTGTAAATAGCAACTTCACATTCCAGAAATTAAGGCGGGTCCGCTCTTCTTTTACGCCTATGAATTTTTTTCTTTTTCTTTAAAATCTTTCTCAAAGGATGTAACGAAAGAAAAAGGCGTAAATTAAAGAAGCAATATGAACACTATTTGCATTATTCGGACTATTGTCCTCATCTTTGTCGACGTATTTATTATAACGTTTCGGCTGTTGTACGCTCCGGCCTTCTTCACGCTCTTTAGAATAATGTAAATAGTGTACATAATACCTCATCTCAGAAATATAGACAGATACTGAAACAATATGAATTTGTGTCATTTTAGTGAAGGATTCGCGTCACCCGTTGCCAACAATTTGAATCCCGTCACGTGCTGAACTGATAACTTTTCAGCACCTCATCATGTTATCATTATTATTATTGCTTAATTGCCTCAGCTTTTTTATTTGACAATTGCAAATTAATTCTTTTATGTGTACAGAAACAGTTTTGAGAAGATGCCATTCATTAGACTAGAAAATTATGAACACTTTTCATCACTATTTTAGTTATATATTTAAAATATTTCGGATTTCTTTGATGTTTTTTTTTTCCTCCGGATTTGAAAAATATTTCTTCTTATTATAATTTCGAATATTATCAACACCGGACACCGATCCTAAAAACTTCACGCTTGCCACGGAGAGCATTTTTTTTTTTTCATCTGTGAGAAAAGCCCAACATATTTGTCATGTTGTATTTTAACTCAGCTGATTTCGTGAGAATTTTCACGATAGAATGAATATGAATATATATATATATATATATATATATATATATATATATATATATATAAATGGCATGTATATATATATATATATATATATATATATGCCATAAATATACTAATGCCCATATTACGTTAATGCATGATGTCTAAGTCAAAACACAGTTGGTCTGACTGGTAATGCTTTTTTGGCGTACGGTGGCCGTTAATAATTACGTTTAACTCATGATATCAATGTCAAAAATAAAACAGTATTTAATTACAACCACAAATAAATACTTAGCAAGAACAAAAAAAAAAATCAATCAAAGTAGTGAATACTTTTTAGTAGCGCATCTCGACTTAACGTCCGCTAAATCCTAAATCAAAACCCAAATCATCAACGCACAATAATCCACACTAATTCAACTAAATAGTTCCACTCAATAATCACTGCAGTTAGTAGCCTGACACCGTTACTTATATACCTGGCGGAAAACAGATATTCATATCCAGGGTGTCACGCTCGAACCTCGGTATCGGTAGTTACTCATTTTCTTCCTTTATGACAGTATGTAACAACAACAACAACAACAACAACACACACACACACACACACACACACACTCGCAGACAAATATATATACATATACATATATAGCGCTACATGGAGGTAAGGGAGGTCTGCAAACACTTCGATTTTTAGCTACAAATACAACAACTTCTTGTCCACGATGACAAAGCAATTGAGTTGTATTATTTTGCTAAAAACATTACTGTCATTAAGTTTAAAAACAGATAATACGACAAAGAAAAAAAAAACGTGTATCTAAATACAAAGCGAAAGATGTCAGGATTAAATATCTAAAAAATATAAATTTTATCAGTTATGAAAGGATCAAATACAGAATAAATAAATGAATAAATAAAAATCTGATTTAATCTCCTTCCATGTGTAAATCTGTTATAATTATAAATTATTATCAGACCCCATATTTATAATCGTTGGAACGAACGCTAATTCGATAGATCTTAATAGATTCCTCGAATATCTGACTAATGAGCGTTTTGACGCGAAACACTAAAGTCGGTCAGATAAGTCACTTGAACTTCTCTTAATTTATTGAATGTTATCATTTCGTCCTCTGAGGAAGGATGTCATTGATTGATTAGGGCTTTTAAATTTTAAATTCATGAATGTTTAGAAATTTAAAAAGCCTTGATAAACCAATGACATCCTTGCTATTGTATATAAACTCGTGCAAGAAAATAAATCCTATGTTGGCGTTGACTAAGAATAGGTTTCCCATTTGTCGCTTTTCATTCATATCTATATCTACTTTAAAAAAAAATTAGATTAGTTGAATCCGCTACCTTTGTTTCAACCTTACGGTCTCCTCAGGCGGTTTTTATCAAGTGGCCACCCAACATTTTTATTTTTATTTCTTAATACTATTTTTAATACTACTGTTTCCTGGTCTAATTCAACTCATTAACGTTTTATCCAAGGATATATATATATATATATATATATATATATATATATATATATATATATATATATATTAATACACAATAAAATCACCTCATATGGAATTTTTCTAATTTCTAATTCCGACACGAACAGCCTATACCGGGGTTGAATAAGATTGACGAATTTTATTTTTTCGTCTGTCGAAATAAGCTTATTCCTCATATCAGGTGATTTGGAATTTTATTGTTTATTAATTATTTGCTCTTTAATTATAAATACATTGAGCTCTTTTTGTGGATCAGGTTTAATATTTTATATTACTAGGATCCACTTAGATTATATACCAACGGATTTATTACCTTTACTATATATACATACATATATATATATATATATATATATATATATATATATATATATATATATATATATATATATATATATATATATATATATATATGTATATATATATATATATATATATATATATATATATATATATATATATATATATATATATATACTTGAGTGTATATCCTTTTATTAAGTCTCCTGAATGCGCAGGTCGTTTGACCTAATTCACATTTTAAAAAACAAGGCGTCTACGCAAACATGGGTAACCATAA